GTAGTAGTGGTGGTAGTGGTAGTGATAGTACTAGTAGTAGTCGTAGTCGTAGTCGTAGTTGCAGTAGTATTCCTCCTACTACTACTACTACTACTACTACTACCAGTAGCAGTAGCAGCAATAGCAGTAGCGGTAAAGTCTCAAGTGAGATAGGCCAGTACTGCTGCAAGTGCAAAAGGAAGCAAACAGGTGAGAAGAGTGGAAGTCGGACATATGCCGGTCATACTTGGCAGCATTGTTCGGTGAAGGTAGCGGAAGCGCATCCAGTAGCATGAGGATGGTGAAGGCAAAGTTTGCTCAAGAGTTTGTTATCAGTGAAGGTGATAAAGATGAAGGAGAAAAGGATGAGCAACACTTCTGGTACGAAGCTACAAAGAGCCAACAAGATTGGCTGGAGAAATTGATTGAGATCCCAACAACAGGTCATGAAGATGTAGCAGAGGAGTTTTGCCAGCAAGATTGGCAGGAGAAATTGGTTGAGATCACGCACAGGTCCATCGTTAGATATATGTGACGGTGGACAGTGGAGCAGATTGCCACGTTCTCCCATGGTCGTACTACAGCCAGGGGGAAGTCAACTAATTACCCAGCGCTAAAGATGGTGGTCACAGATGCCCAAGGGAATCGGATAAACACTACTGAAGTCCGATCCAACATAAGTGTTTGAGTTCCAGAAGGCCGATGGAAGAGTTATCAAAGTTCGAGATTCGGCAGACTGAAGGATGGTTCTTCTTGAGAAGTGGACAGCCAGCAAGGATTGATTGGCATACAAAGTATACGTACAACCTTCAACCAGATGAATTTAAGGCGTTCAAGTACCGTACGACGTTGATCACAAGGTATGAAGGAAACAAGTATTCTGGAAGGAACTTCAGTTCTTCGAATGCGCGGAAGAATGGAATCAAAGAGAAGAAATGGAAATTATTTCGGACAAGCCATGGTCCGTGGTAGTGACAATCTTGGAAAGAAAGCTTTGTGGAGCAGAAGTCTATGGAAAGTATGAGGACCCTCTTGAAGAAAGGAAAAGGAAGAAGAAAGGAGCAGAAAGAGACGTAGAAATGGAGCAAGAAAAGCCACAAGAAGAGAGGAAAGATTTCCTGGAAGAGTTGAGAGAAGAAGAAGTTATGAAAGAAAAGGAGAAAAGTGAAGAGGTTGAGCGAAAAAGAGTTGAAGAAAGATTACCAAGTATTGGAGAGTCTATGGAAGAGAAGATGAGCATTGGAGGAGAAGAGATTACTCCAGAGAGTACGCTGAAGCAGATGAAGAAAGCCTGTGAGTTTCTGAAGGCTGGAAAGACTGGAAGTAAATAAGGCTCAAGACTGGCAAAGACTGAAGCAACCAGTAGCAACAAGCAAGCTGAAAGAGACAGTAGAGATTTCAAGGAAGATTGAAGAAGAGTTTTCAAGAGAACCAAGAGGAGAGAAGAGACCAGAGATGCCAAGTGAAGAATAGAAAAAGAAGCACGAGTTAACGCATCTACCGAAAGCAGATTGATGTGAGAGTTGCAGAGCAACAAGAAGCAGAGAAGACAGCTTCGAAGTGTCAGACAAGAAGCATGCAGCATCATTGGCAAGCATGGATTTCAAGTTCACAGGAACAAGAGATGAAGAGACGCAAAGAATCTAAAAGATGCTCTAGCCGTCAGTTTGGTTATGGTTGATCAAGAGAAAGTTTGTTCATGCTATACCAGTGCCGAACAAGGAAGTTTCAGGGTACTTGTTTGAAGAAGTGTGCCGAGTACTGATGTTGATGGATCCGAAGGTGATTTTGAGAACAGATACGGAACCAGTGATGACTTCACCTCGGAAGAAAGTTCAAGGGATAAGAAAACTCAAGAATCTTGATACGGAACTTCAAGATGTATCGCCAGATGAACATGAAGGTTTCCAAGTTGAAAGATGGGTTCAAACGGTAAGGAATCTGTCTAAGACTCTGCTGTGTCAAGCTGAATTGCAAGCAAAAGGAAGATTACTTCGGAATGCATGTTGTACCCATGGGCTGCAAGGCATGCAGCATTCCTGTTGAACAGGTTAGTTGTACACAAGGGTAAGACACTTTTTGAAGTGGTTTTCGACAGAGAGTACAAGAGTACGTTGGCGCCGTGGGGAAGCGTTGTATTGGCAAAGCAACTGCCAAGAGTGAAATAGAAGGTCGAAGGTGAATCCTGGAAGAAAGGAATCTTCGTCGGAAAGGATATGGTAAGCAACATGCATCTGGTACGCACCAGAAAAAGAATAATCAAGTCAAGAACAATGAGACAATGTACGCCAGCATTCGAGGTGGAGCCTCTAGCTGAAGCTTGTGGTACCCCATGGGACCACAACCAAGAGCAGCTGATCGGTAAAGCGAAGCAGCCGACAACGAGATTGCCGCCCTCGAGCGGAATTGAAGCGATTGCAGAAGGGCCTCCAAAGCCAGTCCCGCGTTCGCCCGGAGGAGGCGACGATGGACATAGTCCAAGTGATCCTGGACAAGGACCAGGACCAGACGAAGCAGGATCAGACCCTACAAGTACAGAGAATGCCGGAAGCGATGATGAGGAAGATCCCGGCGAAGGCCAGATGGGATCAACCTCAAGCCGTGGTAGTGGAAATGTCCGAAAGAGAAGTGAGCTAAGCTCTACGTCAGAAGAGTTGATTGCTAAAGAAGAGCCACCAAGCCCTTCGAAGAGACAGCTTGAAGGACAAGCTGAAGAGTCAGAAGCTGTAAGGCCAAGAATTGATGAAGGGACAGGTGAAGTTGAAGAAAGACCTGAAAAGTTCCAAGCAACAAGAGCTAAAGTGAGAAGTGTGAAGGAGATTGAGAAGTTTCTAGAAGTGAGGAACCAAAGTACGATATCGAAGAAGAAGTTGAGCTAGATGAGTTCGAGGAGATGGAGACGAACGTTGGAAGTGACGAAGAAGAAGTTGATTATGCGTCAGGTGGAGAAGAAGGTCCCGGAGACGGACCAAGGTGGTCACATGAGTTTGAAGATGGGCCACCAAAGCTTGAAGAAGAAGAGTTGGAGAAGGTTGACGAAGTTTCGCGGATGAGCGAGATTGAAAGACTGACAAAGATGGGAGTACTTCAAGAAGTCCCTGAAGGACCAGACCTGAAGAAGTATATCCTTGTGTCAACAAAAGTGGTTTATGATTGGAGACATCGCGAAGGCGAATGGAGAAGGCGAGGAAGACTGGTAGCACGAGAATTCAGATGGCTATCCTCGTATGATATTGCAAGTTTGTTTTCGCCTACAGGTGTTGCAAGCACCGTGAAGTTACTGTCAGGAATGTCTGTATCCTCTGATGGGTACTCACTTGGAAGCATAGACGTCGGAGATGCTTACCTGATGGTTGAACAGGAAGAGCCGACTGTGGTTGAAGTTGATGCAAAGTATTACGTGTTGGGATTTACACTCGCAGGACAAACGATTGGATCAAGTGCATGGTTCAACAAGTTGAAAGGATACTTGGAAGAGTTTGGTTTGAGATCAGACGAGGGTCTGCCTGCACTGTTCTACAGAGTACCTGAAGGAAGCGAGCAAGGAATCATTGGCTTATCACATGTTGATGGCATGGAGTTATTTGCTTCAAAAGAAGACTTCCAAAAGTTGGTGGAATTCTTGAAGGGGAAAGGATTGAAGATCAAGGTTGAAGGACCTATGGATGAAAAGGAGGAGCCATGAGTTTCTTGAAAAGAGGTTTCAGAGCAACAGGTGATGGAGATGTGGAGATAACGATGATGAACAACAAGTATATCGAAGGATTGGTGGAAGTTCTGCAACTTTAAAAAGCTTACACGAAGAAGATACCGTGTCCAGCGGACAATTGAGGGGTTTTTCAAGCGCTAAAGAATGGAATGACACCTCTGAGTGCAGAAGACCAACACATCTTCAGGAAAGGAGTTGGAATCTTGTTGTATCTGGCGCCTGAGAGACCAGATATCATGTACGTGCTAAAGAAGTTGAGCACGAAGCTAGCAAGCCCAACTGGAAGTGACATGGAAAAGCTAAGGCATGTTGGGAAGTATTTCAAAGGAACTCCCGATGTGGGATTGATACACAAGAGGAGCTACCCAGGAAGAAGTATCTTGAAGGAAAAGGAAAAATTCCAAAGCAACGGATATGGAGCAAGGAACCCGTATGAACAAGAGTCAGTTCCCGATCGAGAAAGTAGACAAAGTGTATCTTGTGGTGCCATCATGTTAAATGGCAACCTGATTCGTTTTCAATTCAAAAGACAGAAGTGTGTAGCTTTGAGTTCTTGTGAAGCTGAAACGATAGCAGCTACATCAATCTTGTCAGAAGCAGTTTTCTGAAAAGGATTGTTGACAAGGATCTTGAGTAAAGTGCCCAGGATGGTTCTATAGTCAGATTCAAACAGCTCAAGACAGCTGATTGCAAGAAAAGGACTCGGGAAAGCCCGACATCTGGATGTGGATTGCCTGTGGATTCAAAGGATCGACAACTGGAGATAAAGCCGGTAAAGGGTAAAGACAACCCAGCTGACCTGGGAACGATGAGTCTGACAAGAGACAAGATAAAGAAGTATATGGTGACGATTGGGTACATTGGCAAGCACCTCGACACAGCAGAAGTGCCAAGAGAAGAAGAAGAAGAAGTGGAAGTGAGAAGAACAAGAAGACAACCAGTGGATGAAGAAAGGCTAAAGAGAATCATTCAAGCTGTGACAATGGCTGTTATGGTTGCACTTGGGGAAGCCCATAGCACAGAAGAAGAACAAGAAAATCAAGGACTGAGTTTTGCTATGTCGGCTATGGTCATGATGTTGACTGGCTGTGCTTTGTGCAAGCTGAAAACCCTGTGTGCCACAGCCGTTCGCCTGAAAAAAGTGCCTCCCGGAAGAAGGGAGAAGAAAAGAAAAAGAGGAGAAGAGAGAAGAAAAGAAAATGAAAAAGAGAGGAGAAAATGGCTGAGGAGTCTGCTGCAAGCGCTCCTGAGCAGCCTCAGCAGGAAGGGCCGGCTACGTAGATGCACTGAAATATATGATACAGAACGAGGCGAAATCCATAGAGGCAGTTAGCTTGTTAGAAAAGTGGTTGAAGAAGAGTAACACAGGAGAACAAGCTGATTTATACACACTAAGGCGAGAGGTGCTCGAACTCCACGAGCTGCGCGAAGACAGAGAGGACGCCGAGCCTAAAAAGAAACCTGCAGTACCGGAGGTACTGGATGATGTTCCGGTACAGCTTCGGAAAATCGGAGAAAGCGAAGAAGCAAGCGCAAGTGGATCCGCCCAAGGCGGAGTTATGGCCGAAAAGGTGAAGCAGCTGGAAGAACTTAGACAAGCTGCTGAAGCTAGAAGAAAAGGGCTTTTGAGCCAAGGCGGTGGTGATGATTCGTCGTCAGCGTCGTATGAATCTAGCTATGAGAGCGAGGAGAAGAAAGATGCAGCAGCAGAGAAAGAAGAAGAGAAGACTGCTGCAGAGAAGGATAAAGAAGAAGAGCCTCAAGAGCTTGAGGTAGAAGCAAAGGAGAAAGATGCAGCAGCAAAGGAAGAAGAAGAGAAGCATGCTGCAGAGAAGGGTAAAGATGAAGAGCCAAAAGTTTTCGACCCAGATACAGAGGACTTATGGAGCCTCATGTGTGCCTATGATGAAGGGTTAGGGGTCGATTTCAGCCAGCTAACGGATGGGACCCTCCAGAAGCGAATGGAGGAGTTCATGTCGTTGGTAAGACTGCCGCCAGGGCAGTGGCAAGATGGAGAAGGAATAAGGCTGGAAGAATTGCTCGGAGACCTAAGTGCCAGTTTAGAAGACACGCGAGCAAGCCAGCGAGAAGAGATCCGCAAGATACAAGAGAAGTTGGATGAGGAAAAGGAGAATCTTGCTAAAGCTGAAAGCATCGTGGAAGAGATACAGCAAGGAAAAGCGATGCTAGACGCCACTGAGGCAACGGCAGAGATTGCGTGATTGCGGCGGAAATGCTGGATAACATCGTCGACTCGTCGACTCGATAAGGACGATTAAAGAATTTAGGCGATTGTTTAATCAGCAGGAGAAGGAACCCAGCAAGCTATCAGTTTCTATGTTGTTAAAGATGCGAGAGCGATGCCGAAAGCACGATAACACTCGCTGACAGCGAGGGGAATCCCGTACCAAGCAAGACAATGGAAAATATAAAGAAGAAGCGAGAAGATGAAGGAAAGAAGAAAGAAAAAGCAGTTCCAACGCCCAAGAGCGTGCCGGACGTGCTGAAGCGAGGAAGTTGTGCATGAAGCTGCAAAGACCACTTGAGCAGAAGCCGGCAGAGCCTGCCGGACCCCCACCGGAAAAGAAGCAAAGGACAGAGAGCTATAAGTGGGAGGACAAGGAAAGGTTTAAAGATGATAGAAAATGGTGGGAAGAGCAAGGAAAGTACGATCGGCGGTGCGTTCACTGCCTTGGATACGGACACGCAGCTGCAGGCTGCCCGGTAGTGTTTCGGGAAGCATTGCAGGAGGCTGGCAAAGATGGGGCACCGTCCGAAAAGGACAGGAAGCGGTACAATATTCCCATCTACTCCAAGTACTGTTTCAAGCGAAGAAAGAAAAGTGAAAAAAAAACACCCCTATCCGGGGTGGGGAACTCACATGTTCCAAGAGTGCTATTTTGCAGAGGAGGACAAAAGTTACGACGAGAAGAAGCCTCCAAGCAAGAAGCCAAAGTATGTGACGGAGAGCACAGCTGAAATCCACGCGATAAAGGATGATGAAGAAGAAAAGAAAGAAGAGAAGAAGAAGGAAAGCCCGGAGAAGGAAGAAGAGAAGGAAGAGAAGGACAAGAAAGAGGAAGAGCGCGAGAAGAAGGATGAAAAGGAGAAGGACAAGCGCAAGCAGCAGAGGGACAAGAAGGAGAAAAAGAGATCCGAAAGCAAAGCAAAGAAAGAGAAGAAAGAAAAGAAAGACAAGAAGGATAAAGAGTCCAAGCATATGGTGGCCGAAAGAGATCTCTAAGGAGGAGATCAAGAAAGATTGCAAGCCGGTAGGAAACTACCGAAGAGTGCGGCACCAGCACTATAAACAAGGGTGGAGAAACAAGTGCTCAACAAAAGAGAAAAAGTTACGGTGCCCCGAGCACCATAACAGTACGTGAACCAAGTTTCTGAAAGTGAGCGTTAGTTCTGTAGTTAGTTGTTTTAAATGCAACGGAAAGGAATGTGTGAGAAGAGCCGAAACTTGAAGACGCATGTGGTAGCGGTAAAGGCAAGTGAACCAGGCAAGGACAGAGCTGAGGAGCTTTCAGAGCTCCATGGAAAAGGTGTTTCAAGAGTTGGTTGAAGTGATATGAAGTATCATGATGCCTGACTTTTTCGTGATGGTGATCGACTGGAGGACGTTTCTACAACGTTTTCGGCGAGTTCAGAAAACTCTGGCAGCCAATGGCCAACCAAAGAAGTACACGCAAGCATCAAAGTGAAGAAGGACACTCGAAGGAGTGCGTGTGAAAAAGGAGTGCCAAAAAGCGTCGAAGGACGGAAGACTCCTGAGTTGCAGTGTAAAGTTTGATCGGATAGAAGGTAACACACCCTTGATCCGAGGAGGCGTAACAAACATTTCAATTTCCCCTGTACGTGTTTTCCTAGTGTCTCACATTGTTGACCGCAGGTTCTGACTAGGCTCAAGCGAACTGAGAAAAGTCGGGACCGTGTGTGGTAAAGAATTGGAAGCTTAAGGTTTGGCTTAAAACTTTCATTCTGGCAATGCCGTGCAAGTTCGTAGCATCCTGAGGCATCCTGTGCTTCCAATCTACGGAGAACCCCCATACTATATAGTGACCCCCGCTGCATGTTGGCCATAAAGCATAGAGGCATAGAGCTTCTGACGCAAGTTGGCACAGAACGACCCGTTGCTTAAGTTGCAGGCCAGAGCTGTGCAGCACTCGAACGATGCGGTGCCGAACCTGTGCAGCGGCCCGGAGCCTATGTCTACACGTCTGCATCTCGAAGTTTCCCAGTGAGGCGACGACCCCAAGGTATAAGGAAAACTATACACTCGCGGGATACAAATGGGTGCGGACGGCGTACCTACGCTGCGTACGCTAGCAAGCTGTCCCTCACGGGTTTGATGCAGATGGCTTTTGAGCCAGCGTGTTGCAGCCGCCCCTTGCAGTTGAATTTGAATAACAGCTGTGACTTGGCCGCATTGACCTTCATCCCTGTTTCGGTCAGCAGAGCGGACGTTGCCCGGATGCACTTACACATGTAATCAAGATCACTAGTGTGTAAGATAATCCATTGAAGCAAGGAGTCGTCGGCATACAACGTTATGAACTCATCGGCCCATTCCCTCCCCAGAGCTGGTCACACAGCCATCCTTTGAAAATGGCAAACAGGAGAGGCGAAAGGGAGCATCCTTGGCGGACACCATGCTGCATCGGAAAGTGCTGCTCCGGTTGTCCCACTCTGATCTTATATTGACAGGCCTGGTGGATATCAAGTCTCAGATCATGCAGATCACGTGGGACAGCAGCGCTTAACAAAGATGCAGACAGTGCCCAGCACGGCGCCATGTCGAAGGCGCGGCTCAAGTCGATTGACAACATGGCGCCGCCCCGGCAAAGGTGTTCACCTAAGCAAGCCCTCCTATCGTGAACACACCGAACCCCATTGCGAAGGAGACCCCAGATCATATTGCAGCGTCGAAAAAACCCTAGTCAGTCGACCTGCCTTCTATACAGGCAAAGTGCGGCTTGGAAAGAAGAAAGGGGCGCACGATCTCCATAAGTCTGCCTTTGACTAGGTTAGCCAGAAGCTTGCTCGATGGATCTTGGAGTCCTAGTGGCCGGAGGTCCTGAAGACGCTTCGATCGATGGCTTTCCCGGCTTGGGCAGCAGAGAGAAAATACATTCGGTCATTTCACTGGGCAAATGACCTGTGGATCTTCGCTGCGCCCCAACAAGATGCAGGATGAAGGCATTGAAGGCCTCCTGTGAGAGCCGCCAAACATGTGCCAGCACGCTATTGGGCGGGACTGCTTTACCTGGCTTCAGGGCTTGTATGGCAGTGAGGACCTCTTCTTGGGTGAACGCAGGATCGGTGCAGGTGCAGGAAGGCAGGAACTATGGTAATCATCAAACGGAGCTGCAGAAAAGGCCTCCTCCAAGTAGCCGTGTACTTCCTGCATCTGCTGCTCTCTGGACAGCAGCTGCCGCTGAGGGCCCCGAATCCTAACCATTTCCCGTTTACGCTTCGGCGCGATGGCCTGGACTGCAGCATACACAGTGCGATAATCGTGGCGTGTAGCGGCTTGCTGGGCACATGCAGTCACGTGCAATCTGGTCTGCTAGCCACTGCCGCCGGGCACACCTGCTGGCCCGACGAAGATCCCGCCAGGAACGCATGAACTGTGCAGTACGTTTCCAAGCACGATGTCTATACCTCTCCGTGGTCAACTACGCACGGCGCGATGCCATTGCCGCATTTCACGAACGCGGAAGATGACAAGTTCATGATTTCCGGCCCTGGCACGACCGCGCCGGCGAGCCGGGTAATACTGCGTGCACTTGGCCAGGAGCTGAACATGAAGCTGCCGAAGTGCGAGCCATGGTGCCAAATTCAGCTCCATTGGCTTAGCCTTCCTGGCTTCTGGATCGGCAGCTATCTTGCGTGTGAGGAGAAAGTCCACCTGTGAGGATTATGTACCGTTAACAAACGTAGCGATGTAAGCAGGTCTCACTTTTACCCCAAAAGTTGAGGACACAGTCGATGCGCTAGCAAGATGGCTACAAAATCAGCATCAACGTTGGAACCATAATGTCGGTGCCGGTGCACTCCCTTACCTATCAGTCCTCGCTCGGGACTAACCGCGGTGTTGAAATCTCCTCCCACGATCAGAAGGTTGCGCGCAGGCACTGCATTCAATGCACGACTCAGAACATTCCAGACCTGCCTGCGCTGAGTCCTCTTTTGCTCAGGATATGCTTCATTGCGGACCCACTGGTAGACGCCAAAGATATCTAAACTAGCATGAACACTCGCATCTGACCTGGAGAACCATACCAGAAGACCAAGTACAAAAGGAGATATTATCAGGCATAGCCACTCGATGTGAGACCACGGCTGCCACCCCATTGTGGCGGTTCCGCGCGTCCGGTGCGGTGCAACTATGAAAGACCACCCAGGAATGCTCCGCGTGGTCTCCACCTTGCCGAGTCCGTGGTGCACCTCATGCAGGAGGATGCTGTCCGCGTCCCGCTTTTGGCACACCCAGCGGCAGAAAAAAATCAGACAGCTCCGAATTCACTCTGCACACGTTGTAAGAAAAAACCCGGATGCGATGCTCTCTACTTCTGTGTGTCGTCGGCTCAGCACCTTGTGGGGGACGGTAAACTCCCTCTTCGTCGGCCTTGGACTGTTCAAAGAGCACCATTGGCCTCGATATCTGGCACCGGTACCGCCATTTAGCTCGGCTCTGCGACACGCTCGGGCAAAAGCTCGTTTTCTGTTCCAGTCAAAAGAATAAGTTGACGTGTCTCTTCCAGAATTTTTCGCCACGCTGGCCGCTCGGCGCAGCTCTCGGATGCGTATTGGACGCGCATCCAACCCTCGGGTCTAACTCCCTGTGCAGTACTCTTTCACTTGCCATGATTCCAGGAGTCCATGGGACTTGGGACCCGCTGAAGCTGTGCTCCACTCAACATGCAGACGTTGTGAACAAGCAGTACTGAAAAATAAGCCGGCCATGAAACCTCAAGAGGACCCTACACAGACGCCTTTCCTGCTCCAGCCGTCGTAGTAGTAGTCGTCGTAGTGGTAGTAATTAGTGGGAGGAGGAGGTGGCAGTAGCAATTAGGTAGTAGTAGGTAGTAGTAGGTAGTAGGTAGCAGTAGGTAGCAGTTGGTAGTAGTAGGTAGTAAGTAGTAGGTAGTTTAGTAGATAGCAGGTAGCAGGTAGCAGGTAGTAGTAAGTTGTAGTAGTGGTAGTAGTAGAAGTA